CTATTCGACATTGGTGAGGCCTCATCTGGAGTACTGTGTCCAGTTTTGGGCCCCACACTTCAAGAAGGATGTGGATAAATTGGAGAGAGTCCAGCGAAGGGCAACAAAAATGATTAGGGGTCTGGAACACATGAGTTATGAGGAGAGGCTGAGGGAGCTGGGATTGTTTAGCCTGCAGAAGAGAAGAATGAGGGGGGATTTGATAGCTGCTTTCAACTACCTGAAAGGGGGTTCCAAAGAGGATGGCTCTAGACTGTTCTCAATGGTATCAGATGACAGAACGAGGAGTAATGGTCTCAAGCTGCAGTGGGGGAGGTTTAGATTGGATATTAGGAAAAACTTTTTCACTAAGAGGGTGGTGAAACACTGGAATGCGTTACCTAGGGAGGTGGTAGAATCTCCTTCCTTAGAGGTTTTTAAGGTCAGGCTTGACAAAGCCCTGGCTGGGATGATTTAACTGGGAATTGGTCCTGCTTCGAGCAGGGGGTTGGACTAGATGACCTTCTGGGGTCCCTTCCAACCCTTATATTCTATGATTCTATGAAAGATTTCTTGAAATTATTTTTAAATAAAATGGTAGGATTTTTTCTTTTTGATCTTAATCAAGAAATAATTCTCCACTTTGGGTAGAGGTCAATGACGTCAATTTGACTAGCTAAACTATGACAATGTGGGCTGTAAAGGCTTGGATTGTTAATGTAAGGGGGCTTCCTTCTGATACAGGGCCTCTTTTAGAGAAACATCTTCCACTGACAGAGATTTTCCAAATGTAATGATTTTCCAAATTTTATAAAATGCCAATTCTTATTTGCCTCAGAGCTACCTGTGAGGGCTCTCTGTCCCCTCCAGATTATAAAATTATTAGTTAATTGAAATTCTTATCACTATTTGAATGCTTGTGGTTATGGAGATAGTTCCAGGAGTGAATGTTGTCAAGGATGGTGCAAATCTTGGGCAAGATCTTGACCTTCAGCTCAAGAGCACTTAGTACAAATCAGAATGGGGAGGTGCAAAGGTAGCCTAAAGAGAGGTAGTCAACAGGCGGACTGTGGGCCAAATCCAGACTGCCAGATGCTTTTCAATGGACCCTGAAATGTTTTTATTTACTTATTATTATTTTATAATAATTATTATTTTCTCTGGAGTCTGGACTTGACTATACCTTCACCAAGAAATATGGACCTTGGCAAAAAATAATTGACTATCCCTGAAGCCACCATTACACTTTACCTCCCACCCGAGGGCTACTCTGCACTGGTCCACCCCTCCTCCAAGAGAAGTTTGGAACAGCCTGCAGAATCTTACGAGACCTGGCTGCCTAAGGTCTCAACAAAGCACTCTGGCAACAGGACACAGAGACGCCTTCCCCCGTGTGCTGACTAGAGAGGTGGCATAAGAGCAGCTGCTAGTCAGCTACACAGGGGAAATTTCCAACAGCAGGTAAATTTGTTTTTAGGGTAGCTTTGTACCAGCAGAATGGTGCAAAGCTGGCCTAATGCACTTAAAAAACCAGCCCAACATCTCTGACATAGCTATTTTACTACTTTGTGAGAGAAGGTGACAATCTTTTTTGCTCTCCATTAAATAGGTATTATTACCTTGAGCATTTTTAGGACTGTTTATTTTTCTCCTTATCTTGTACCTGTACCAGCAATGTTCTTGTCTTAAAAATGATAATATAAGTGTAAAAATATGCTTGTACAAAGATGACTGTAGTTAAAAAAAAAAAGAGGGGCATCATGTGGCTGGCACTAAGCAAACAGGGTCAGGTTTTGCCTCTCCTTCCAACAGAAAGAGGGCTGGGCTGGTGGCAGATCCTCAAAATCTGGTACCAAGCTTGGTTGTTCACTTCTTGGGTCAGCAGGGCCCCCCAAACTCAGCCTCTTTGAGGATGGGTATTAACACACATCTCTCTCCCTAGTGGTCCCAGTGCAGGAACAGTTTCTTTCCAAATATGATTCATATATTCAGAGCGGGGGGAGGAATAGCTCAGTGGTTTGAGCATTGGCCTGCTAAACCCAGGGTTGTGAGTTCAATCCTTGAGGGGGCCATTTAGGGATCTGGGGCAAAAATTGGGGATTGGTCCTGCTTTGAGCAAGGGATTGGACAAGATGACCTCCTGAGATCCCTTCCAACCCTGATATTCTATGATTCTATTCTACCCTGAAAGATTTCTGAGGTCTGTATGTGGTTTGTCACCTCTGTTGGTATATGTGGGCTTCTGTTTTGGGGGGTTTATTAATTTCATTTTTTGCAATTTTTGAGTTTTATGTAGATGTCCAAAAATTGGGAGATTTGGGGACTCTCTCTTTGTATATATTGTAAGAAATAATCTCTTTGTAATGTTCTGTAGTGCATTTTAACATTGTACTGTTTCAAACAGCATTATATTACAGTGTACTAGGGAGCCAATAGTGCAGGATATGTATAGTCCAATTTATGTGCAATGCATTCATGTACTTTAGAAATCAAACCCCGTAGTCCTCATTACTGCACAAGTCCTTAGGTACAAGTAACCATTTCTGGTGTCCCCCCCCTCACCCCCGCCTATGTTAATTTTATGATCACCAATTTTATTATCATTATCATCATCAGGGGGGTTTTATGGGCGTTTAATGGTTAAAACTTAAAACAGAAACCCTAATTTTATTTAACTACAATTATGACAAAAATTGGATGGCCTGCCCAATTCATTTGTCATCGAAAGAGAATTTTTATAAAACACACAATGGCAGCCGCCATTGGTAATTAACAAGCCTATATAACCCTTGCCTGCCTGATCCAGAAACCTAACCAGCAGAGGGACTTGTATAATTCAACTTCACTTTGAGACACTGCAACAAATCTTAGTGTTTCCGAGAAAGCTGATGCTATTCTGGACATATAGATCATAACAAATGTGAACAAAAAACAAACCAACCCCCAGTAGGCAGAGAAAATATAATATAGTCTTTCAAACCATTCTGCAAATCCCTCTTCAGTAAATCCATGCAGAGTGCAGGGTAGAAACATGCCAAAGTGCCAAATAGTCAGTACAATACCACATTTTGAATCTGTAGGACAGCTAAGAAAGTATGAGTATTAATACCAAGTAAATGGACATAAAAATGAATACCCAGATTATAGCAGACTCTGACATTGCTGGATAGCAGCATGCCAAATGGCATATAAATTTTAAACAAGGCAACTACTGCAGAGGCTTGGTGGCACCATCATCCAACTAAATAAGCCCCCCAAAATGCATTTCCATCAGAACAAGCTGTGAGCCTGACCTGCAGCATTTCTGTGAAATTACAAAATCAAATTCTTTGTCATGCAAAACCCCAAGTGCCTAAATTAAACTCTGCACAGTGGTACACCGCTTTTTAGAAAGTCAAGTTCCAGCTATTTGAGACACTGACAAATTTGTTTGCAATAAGTGTTTTCATTAATAGTTTTAGCTTTAAGAAGTAATTTCATAATCTCTTTTGATGGTACAGAACCTTATATAGCAACACATTAAAGAGATGGACAGGAAAATAGGGGGCACCTCCATACACTCCTACAATTTATTTACATGATCAAATGTGTATACAAAGCCATAGAATGATCAAGCTTGAGATTCTTTTATTTTTATCCTATACAACAGTGAGACATGTCAGAGAGTGAAACAGTAATTGGATTATCTTGGATTGAATGCTATAGTGCTACTTTGTGCTATTATAAAATGGGCATGTTTATACAAATGAAAAACTAAAAATAATAAACTGTATTTCATAAGAATTTTGCACTTTTTCTTCCACAGTTCTTTTTTAAAAAAAATCTCTCTTTACATGCTGCATTATGGCCAAACCCTCCGACACCCTCCCCCCGCCCCCGCCCACCCCTCTCCCATCAAGCCTGAAGCATTGAAAGGGGATTGTGCTGCTAGGAACAAAGAAAGGAAGTCGTTTTCAGCTTCATACTTAAGCATTTATGCATGCAATTTCCATTAACCACACCAATATTTACACTCATAATCTGCATTTTGCATAGCTGAAGTATACCTGAAAGATTAAAGTTTATAAGAAATTTCAATAACCAGAGAACCCACATTTACATTTTCAGTGTTTTGCGGGGGGAAAAAATCTTTAGAGGGAAGAAAATATAAGATGAGCCTCTGATCACTGAAGACTGAGTCTTTTTATAGATTGCAGTATTGTTGTAGCTGTGTTGGTCCAATAAGAGATATTAATAGCCCACCTTGTCTCTCTTTGCATAGATGCAAACACAGTGAGTCAATTTAGTAAAATAGTATGTGACATGATTGGCATCCTTTGAATTGTCTGAGACATATACAAAAATGCTTTGAAATAGTTGTTAGTATAGAACCCTGTATTTAAAAAACAAAACAAAAACCTATGTACAAAAGTAGGCTGACCAGATTATCAAGAAACTAAACATGGTGAATTTTTCATATTCTGAGCTCTCTGTTTAGTGAGATGACTAATGCAATCTGCATTTCCGAGGGTTCTTCAATACATGACATTTTCAGATAGAAATGTGGACCCAACACTCCTCATAGCAATCATTCAGATAAATCAAGGATTACAAACCAGTTTGTTCTGTGACTTGTGCAAGGGGGTGAAAGTGCCCACGCCATCACTACAACAATATAAAATTAACATGACACACATTCAATGGATTAAAAGATGGCTAACTAATAGGTCTCAAATAGTAGCTGTAAACAGGGACGCATCATCAAGCGGGTGTGTTTCCAGTGGGGTCCCGCAAGGCTCAATTCTTGGCCCTATGCTATTTAACATTTTTTATCAATGACCTGGAAGAAAACAAAATCATCACTGATAAAGTTTGTAGATTACACAAAAACTGTGGGAGTGGTAAATAATGAGGAGGCCAAGTCTCTGATACAGAGTGATCTGGATTGCTTGGTAAATTAGGCACAAGCAAACAATTTGCATTTTAATACAGCTAAATCTAAATGTATATATCTAGGATCAAAGAATGTAGGTCATACTTACAAAACAGTAATGTGTACTACATAAATCCTTATACTTTCCATTTCTGGTTTAGCTGCTTAGATTTGGCATGTTTTTCTTTTCTTCTTCTGCCCTCCCCACAGGCGCTGGTATTGTAGGAAGGCTTTTGAGCAAAGGTGGATTTTGCAATGGGACCTGAAATCAGTAAGGGATTAGGCTCATTTGGATGTCATCCAGCAGAAGGTCCCACAGATGAGGATCTTTAGCTGAAAATGCTCTTCCTCTGGCTCATGAAAGTTTCAGTCCAGGCCTTAATTGCTTCATCCTTCCTGATGAACACAGCTGCCTTGGTGGACAATAGATGGGTTCCAAGATAGTTGTGTTGATACCATATCCTGCCCTGCCGTATGTGACATGGATGTGTGTTTTGAGAGGTTATGCAAACCTAGCTGGGACCTAAGTTCCTTCTAAGCTGCACGGCCACGCAGCAGGCTATCAAGGGCCGCACAGGAAGGGAGAGGCACCCGCCCCCCATCCTGGCCCAGCCCAGGCGAAGCTGCCATGGCTGGGGAGAGGTACCCCTCCCACAGCCTGGCCTAGCCCTACTGGAGCTGCTGCGTCTCAGGAGAAGAGCCTCTCCCCCAACCGCGAGCTGCTGCAGCAAGAGAGGGCTGTGGGAACTCCTCTCTCTCCCTGCTGCCCCAGGACAGCCTGCACCACAGACCCCTCACCCCCAGCTGGAGCCCTCACCCCCCCCAACCTCCTGCTCCAACCCTGATCCCCCTCCCGCATCCCAATCCCCTCATCCCCGGCCCCACCCCAGAGCCCACACCCCCACCGCACCCCAACCCTCTGCCCCACCCAGAGTCCCCTCCCACAGACTGTCCAAACCCGTTGGCCCCAGCTCCACCACATCACCTCCATATTGGTGCACACAACAAAACTCATTCCGCACATGGACATAAAAATTAGAGGGAACATTGGCTGGGACATGATCCTGAAAGGTGCTGCCTTCCATCACATCTAACTGAGTGCAACAGGAGCAGAGGAGTAGTAGACCCAAACAGGATCAGGCACCTAGTTCACAATGAGGCATTGCCAGTGTCGACAACAGTCTACCCCTGTGGAAATGTCTGTGCAACACCTCAATATTACAAGCAGACACATAAAAGGGAAATGATGACAGAGTGGGCGACACATAGGTAGGGGCCTGTCAAGGCTGAATCCCCACTCTGCCACTTCGAGTACAGAAGGTGGGGGCCCGCAAGGATTCTAAAATATTAATACTTGCGATTCCAGGCTTATATTAAACTCCCAAGGCTACAGCTTTTCTCTAATCTTGGCTTGGTGAACGCTGTCAGCACCCAAATGCATAAAACCCCCTTTGACCCAGATGGAGCACTTGGGAATTCCTCCCTGTGGGATACTCTCAGCCCTTTCACCTTAGCACAGAGGAGATCCACAAGCCAAAATAAAGAAATAAACCTGATCGCGTTTATCTAAACATTCCCTATCCAAATGATTCCTTCTAGGTATGGAAGACAATTTTTCATACCTGGTTCAAACCTTACACAGCATTCCTGCTTATAGCATTGCTGCTCCATGCCCCTGCAGCCCAGAGAGAACAACAGACAAAAGGAAAGTTTGTTTCCCAATTTTAAAAAGTTCTAACCCACGCATTGGCTCTTTTAGTCAGATGCCCATTATTATTATTATTTTTAAAACCTGGGGGACTTTTTAACCCTTTACAGGTAAAGCAAGTAGAAAACAGCTACCAAGAGGGATTTTACAGCTAACTGGCTGGCTGGGTGTCCACCAAAGGGAGCTACCCCCCTTTATTTATCAGAGGGCTACGGCCAGACTGATTACTGTTGGATTGTGGCCCTCTCACTTGGGTTCAGAGCAGCTGTAAGGAAAGAAAAAAAAGTTGCCCCTAATTCATGCAGAAGTAACTAAAGCTGCTTCCTGGAGGCAGATGGCAGCGAACAAGAGGAGAAAACATTGCCAGCTGCCCAGGTAAGCAGCTTCCTCTCCCACACCCATGCAGCACACTTCAACAACTGCACATGCAGGATCAGGGCCTTCCTTTGTTGATACAGCTTTGTTCTTGTTCTACTACTACAAACAAATACCGTTTAATGTTCTTGTTAATCCACCCCATATGTGTGATGATATGGCACCTCTAACAAATCTAGCTGTGTCTTTTGGATACAAGAGATTTATAATGCTATTGGATCATCCCCAATCTCATCTGTGTTTTCTGATCTCTGTTTGATCACAGCTGTTATTCTGGAGACAGCAGCAGCAACTCCATAGTGAAGGCTGCACTGAGATCATACTTACTGGAGCATGTAGGAGTAAGGTCAAATAAGCTGCCCACTCCCTAGCTACCCCCCTGATTCTTACTCTACCCATGGGTGGATGACAGGGGCTCCTTGCCTGATATTTTCCCTGTGAGCAGGTGGGCAGAAAGGAAATGGACCTTCCTCGCTAAACTAACAAAACAACCAGTTTAAAAAGGGCATCTCTATAATAAAAGGGTTTGCACAACTTTAGTCAAACCAAGTGCTGTATTTTATTTGTGACAGTTGCTACTTTTGTAATGCAACAGCTCATTTGTTTGCTTCTGAAATAAAATGTTTTAAATAAACACGTCACTACATGCTTTATTTGATTACACAGCTTTCAAAAGCATATAGTAAATGGAAACTCAAAGCAGGTACAAAACAGCAATTAAGATTAGCAGTAATGAAATAGAAGTTGATAACCTGACGTCTAAATTATGTTTAAATTGTCATAAAAACATAAGCTAGTCTAAAAATGAAACCATTGCCCATCTTAATATATCTTTTGTAAAACAGCTCCATAACAGAAGGTTCTCTTGCTACGTCTGCTCTCTATCTGCTAGAATATTGATTTATACCATACACACTAAAAGTAAAGTCGAGCAGGTAGCCAAGGGGCAGCAAAGATCAGTATGCCTAGTTGACAACAGACAAAACGGGGAGGGAGGGAAGAAAAGTGTATGAAGAAATATATAAACAAGATGAACAGGAAAATGCCTGGAAGATGAAAGATGGGAAATCTAATATATGTAAGGACTGAAAAGAGAAAGTTCAGCAGCTTAGAAAAAAATAAATCTTAGAGGTGAAATCCTGGTCCCATTAAAGTCAATGGCAAAATTCCCATTAACTTCAATAGGGACAGGATTTCACTTAATTCATTTACTTAATTAGGATCTGATTCTACCACCTTTCTTGATGCCCAGTAATAATGGGACTACTTATAGAATAAGTTACAAACCAGTGATATTCAGACATCAGAGGTTCAGGAGCCAAATTTGCAATCAACATTACCCAAAAGAGGCACAGCAGTGTGAATTTACCATAGTACAATTCATATTTAAACAGCATGACAGGGGAAATATTTAGTTATATATATAAAAAACTAAATATTTCCCATCATGCTGTTTAAATATATATATACATACACATATACACACACACAATTCTCAGAGCAAATAAGTTAACTTAACCAACTAAGTTATCAACTTGCACTAATAACATAGTAAAAGCATCTTTATTGATTAATAATTAAAGCACAGTGTTTTAACAACATGTGTTGTAAAAAGCTGCAGGAGACACATTAAAGAACCACTTGCGGCTCGTGCACTGCAGTCTGGGAGTAACACTGATCTAACTTAAGGGTGGCAGAATCAGGTCCTCAACTGGTTTATAGAACACTTATCTCACAACAGTGTCTGGGACAATGTACATAATAAACCAAAAAGTTATATCAAACTAGAATCTATGTCCATCCACCCCAGCATACAAAAATGGATCCCAGTCGTGAAAATACTTGAGGCATGAAATAGCCTCATAGACTTCAATGGGACTACTTGTGCACGTACGTGTTTGTGGAATCTGGGCCAAAACGGGGGAAATTAATATAAAGGAAGAATTGGTGAAAAATAAGTTTTGAAGCCAAAATGATCAAAGGTGGACTAACCTGAATAGCTTTGTTCAGGATGAGAAGATCAAAAGCAAACCGAGAACACAGTTGCACTGCACATTTGAATAAACTTACTGATAGAATGCTGACATTCTTTTTATAATTTTTTCATTTTATTTGGGGGGGGATTTTGTTGGATTTTTTTCTATTACAGGAGATCTGCAGGGAAAATGTGTCAAGTCTTGCCTCGGGGGTGAGTAGGAAAGCCATGGGGTCAGGGGGCAGGTTAGGTTTCAGAGCATGCCCACCTTGCACTCAGCTGTCAGCAGTGGCTCTTGTCCTGCAGGGCTGGGCCTGGCTCCCCGTCCTGGGTATTGCCACCTGGTCCATGGTGTGGCAGCACTGCTTAGGTTTGGGCTGTCTGCCCCTCCATAATGACAGGGGGAGTGGATAGGCCAAATTTGACTGAGTGGTGCTGCAACCCTGTGTGCCAGGACATACCACCATCATTTAAATTTTGCCCCACGTCCAGCCTGTCATGACACAGGAGCAGACAGGCTATCTAGGCCCAATGCCCAGAGTGAGAAGCTGGACCCAGCCCTGAGGGACAGGAAGCTACAGGAATTTTGTTTTTTCCCCATTTTATAGGTTGTTTGTTTTATTTCATGTTGCTTCACGTTTGTGAAAAAACACTGGGCTCTATCTACTTACTGACCTATTATCCTTGAAAATTTTGTATCTTCTGATGTACACCAGCACACAGAAAAAGAGACGGGAATTAGTATTCAAGTCAATATCAACAACTTTACTGACATGACAAGATATACAGCATGGCCAAAACTGATAAAGTTAGGGACCAATCATACTCCATGTGACATCAACAGGAGCAGAACAGGACTTCAAATATTTGCGTACAGAACTGCTTTCACAATAGATTTAATATACAGCCAGTACTTGAGCTTGAGGGAAGACTAGCACAGAGAAGGTGAAAGAAGGTGTAGGTCAGCCTACATCCACACAGGAAGGATCATCAGAACTTGAACGGTAGCACTAAAATGGTCCAGACAGGAGATGCTAAAAAATACAGCCTGCAGGATTCCACTCTTTCAGCTGCCTTTGATAATACAACCTATGTGCCTACTGTCTTGTCCTCCACTCACAGCCAATTCCAAGTGGCTGCTATATAGATATTGACTACAAAATTACTTCTGACAGCTGAGTCACAAGGCTCTGGCTTTGTAGGC